ATGTGGCTTTCTGCTGTCAGAGCAGGCTGCTTGCGAGCCAGCCTGATTGCTGCAATTAGCGAAATTAAATGGCTCATTATGTTTTTATACAATTCCACCCACATTCTGCAGTTTCACTTTAGAATGAGTAATGACACTATGGAGGCTGTCCATGGAGAGTCTTTCCACGTGACCATTTAGGACAGCAACTGGACAGGACATACATCGACAGAGAAAGCTCTGCAGTGGCCAGGCGTGGCCCTACAGGCAGCTGAACGAGGGAAGGAGATGCCACCCAAATGCTCAGAGCATCTCATGGCCTGATACAGGTCCACACGAGAGTCTCAGGCAGGTGGGGATAAAGCGAAATTGCCCATCCTTTGCCATTTTGAAACACTTGAGCATCGGGTGCGAGACGGAGTGGCACGCGTCACAGGCTGGCAGAGGCAATCATTTTGATTGTTTTCAAAAGTGACATTGGGTTGCTGAGATAAAGGAATGTTGATCTGCATCCATCACCGAAATTACAGAAATGACCACCCAGTCCTGCTGTGTTTTCACTGCGTACCTCAACCGTCCCCCGAGCTATATTCTGAAAGACAGGCTGAGCTATTTTTAAAAAGGCTTTAAGGAATTCTCCTTAGAAACATAAAAGTGCAGGCATCTCATCCAAGCTTTATATAGAAACAGCAATGGCTAATGGCAAAGACGTGTGGAAAACGCAAGGGAGCATATATTTAGTCTAGAAAATGGTTCATTAGAAACAAAATCTCTGGATTCTTGTCTAAACATTGTGTCAGAACTTGCTTCCACTCAATGGCATTTGGTACATTTAAAAGCAAATGTGTAACCTTACACAATCCTGGTAAGGACATCAGAGGTTTTCTTTACTCAATCCAATCTGTTCAGAGAAAGAAACTTTGAAATGACATAAAACTATTTTATTCAGCTGCTTAAAAGATGAGATCCTTAAGGAGTGCTAAAGCTCATCCAAGCTAAGAGGCACTGAATTCTATCTAGATATTTCCAACCGAAGTTCACATTGTGCTGCTTTCTTACAGACATGGAAAGTAGGCTTGGGTTGATTTTGAAAAAGGAGTGGGAACAAGCTTCTTATCTAAAAGTTCACGTGTCAAAAACATACCACTTTATATGTATGTATTAAAGGGCAGTATATCTTTTATCTTTTTCTGTTACTTTATTGGGAAAGTGTGTATGTGTGTGTTTGTGTGTATATATACACACATACACGTAATATACACACACATATATATTTATATGTGCATACATTTAAAACAGTCATGGAGATTTCATTTATTCCCATTCACTTTTAATTGGTCAGCACAATTACTTCATTTATTCATAGAGCAAAATAAATTGGGCATTTAGAAAGTAACCATAAATAACTTCATTTTACTTTTATCTTCAGATTATCTGTTGCTAATACTTGAATGACATATTCTTGCCGTGTCAGTAAGAGAATTTATTTGTTGGGTTAACAGCATTCATCATAAAGGAATTGTGACTGAGTGTCTGCAAAGACAAGGTTAGTGAACTAGACAATACATAGTTAAGTAGGGCGACATAAAGGTGCAAAGAGGATTTAAAGGACATGTCATTTTGGGGACCAAACTTTGACTTACATGGAAAATTTTTTTTCCCTCCACACAGATGCTTAAAGTGTCAGCAGTATGGTTAAGATATATATACATATACATATATATTTTTTTCTTTAAATATAGTCTCATTTAGAAATGCTAGCATGAAAATAAAAAAATTACAATATTTTTCCTTTAGAAACTTTGTGATCCTATGCAAAAAGTGAGTACTAAGAAAAGATCCCCTCTTAATGGAATCCAATGGACTCAGGTACAGGAAAGCCAGGCGTAAAGCACCCAGCATTTCCCGTCTACATGCTAACCACAGCGCAGCCCTTCGGTTTCTCTATTTACTCTCTGTGGAGGGTTTAATGGCAGATCGAAAAGGAAATCTTCGAATTAAAATATAAATACGAAAATCAAACTTTGTTCCTTTGTACATTGACGATGTCTCTTTAAATCCTAATACTTTAAACTCTCTGTTATCTGTGCATCTAAAAACTAATAAAAATTGTTATTACCACATTGGTCTGATGGCAGTGTGGTGCTTTTTGAATCATGGAAGCAAGATTAAATCACGATTTGCTGCTCAAGTAAGCTTTTTTGTTCTTGTAGTCTTTTGAAAAGTTACAATTTATAACATGGTGGATATATATCCTTTCCATACCAAGAATTCATGGCTCACTAAAATAACATAATCTTTAAGTATGTTGGATAACAGAGTATTTACAGTATTGGGGAAATCATTGAAAAATTCAAACTCTGTACACCCTGCTGACTGCCAATCTCACCTCCAAGACAAAGCACAGGACATTATTTTTTAATTACATAGTACTCATTTTGACTCTTATCATGTTAAGTGAGGAATTAAATTGAGAAATAACTTAGAACTTACATGACTGAAGCATGATGGGGCTTGTTGGGTTTGTGTTGGTTGATTGACACTATTATACTGTAATCTGTGATTTACTCATGAAATCAAAGGTATAGTTCAACTGAGAAATTCAATTTCCAAAGATCATCCGTTAAAAGTCGTCTTGGAAATAATGAAGCTAATAACTCATGGTTCTGCACAAAAGTGAAGAATTTGCCAAAATAATAATTTTTTCCTTCTACAATGGGGGTGGAATGTTTCACCATGTGCTGACAAGAAGAGCGTCCTCCTGGGCCTTCACTGGTGACTAGGTAATCCTTCCACATCCCAACAAAAGATTAGTATTTTTTAGTGGAAATCTTGCTTGGAGGATCAAATCATGGAGTACTAGGAAGTATACCTACTTATAAAAATGGTCTATTTTTTTTTTAATTGCTTTGGGGCTTTGTACTAAAAAAAGTCCTAGGTTGAGCCCTCTGTTACTTCCTGTGGATGTCATCTTGGGGACAGCAGTCTCTGTCTGGCCCACCCACTACACGTGGTGGCTATGGAACTTGACTATTTTAAGTGAGTTGGACAGTCCAAATAACTGAATAATTAAGTTAAACTGACTTTTTAATTTTTTTTTTTTAGTGACTTGACTAATATTTAATATATCACTTGGGTTAATATAAAAGCAAGGAAGGAAGTTTAAGACATCTTCCACTGTGGTCAGGTTTGTTATAATGGATAGATGAAAGTAATCATTTACATCTTTGATTTCCTGGGAAACATTGGCCAGTCTTGACAAGCCCTTTCTAGTTAAGCTGATTCTCTCTTCACCTGATATTCTGATAGCACCCCTGGCCAGGTTCCTGGGGGCACCAACTTGCAAAGTAGGGTGATCTTGCAAGAGACAAGTGTTTTCGATCTGCCGAGGCAGGCTGATGGAATTTGTGGACCAGTTTCTGACATCCCAAGCAATTATGATGCTTAAAGTATTTTAAACGATTCCAGGTCTATAAAAAAAGTGATGATGTCTATGTGTATACCCTATATTTTTTTTACAAAAATATTGAAATAATCCATGAGTTATTCCACTCTGCACCAACTATAAAAAAATACTATCAAAGTTTGACCGGCACTTTTAATGCAACAAAAAGCACCATGACCGGGGACACTGAGAACAGAAAGCGGGGAACGTTTACTTGCTGTACGGAGGTATTTAAAACCCAGAAGCTTGTTGTAAGAGTGCGACTTTACAGATGATTCAAATACAAATCTTAGCTGGATATAGTTAAGCCCTCTATCAGTTCGGGAGGGTTTTCTCATAGCATATTCACTGCATTTGTCTGCTCATACTTACTAAAAAGTGTCCCAAAGCCTCTAAAAGACACATCACTCTGACCTTGGATTGGGGGGGTAAAGTCTGTACACAGTGGAGAACTTGATTGTTCATTCTCTCGTTTGCTTTTGGGGGGCTCACGCCACTCATTCTCAGATGTTCGGGGCTTCCATGTCAGTCCTGTGGTTGGATGGTGTTTGGCACTAGAAAGGAGCAGTGTGGCGTCTCTTGGAATCGCTCCTGGAATGACACAGAGCCGCTCGTTCTGCGTGTGACCAGAGACAGATCTGGTTCCGGCCCATTCCTCTCCCGCCACTGGGCCCGCACATTCCAATGGGAGCTGCACATACCTGGGAATCAACTCTCATTTTGCCTTTTCCCCACTTCCTCTTTGTGTACTTACTAATTGCTGCAATCGAGTACTGAACCATGAATATCATTTAGTTGACGTCACGAAGTTATCAAGCTCCTTGGTCTTGTCAAAAGCCATATATGTGCTGCATAGGATTTCTGTCAAAAAACGATGTCCTCAACTGAAAATTTAAAATAAAAAAATCCTGAAATGTGTAGAAAACGAACCATTCCATCAGTGCTAACACATGTGTAAACACACTTGAGTTTGCTGTCCGTTAGATAGGCTTTTCACACGTGGTATGGGTTTCCAAATAAGAAAATGGGTCATGAATTTTCTAAGCAGTTCTATTTTTTTTTCTGGAGTCTTGAGGGATACATTTTCTCTCTCTTTGTTTTTATATTCCTGTGGGAATCAGAGCTGTGCATCAAGAAAAATCACCTAAGCTATTCCGACAGAGGACTGGTGTTATCTGTGTGTGTGTTAGTGGGTGTCAGTGTGTGTATGTGTGTGTATGACTGAATCTATTTTTATGCAAGGGTCAGTTAACTCCATCAAAACACCCAATGGATTGGAGGCAAAATTTTCTATGATAGGAGTACCCTCTGGTGGGAGCTCTCCAAGCCCGTGCAGGAGGAGTTGGGTAGCAATGGAGAGTCATGGGAAGCTGGCGTCGTTCCTTCAGGTGGAGAGAGAGACTCTCGGGCGCTGCTGGTTTGGAGGGAGACCAGCAGAGGATCCAATGATAATCGTGACCATGGTCAGACTGAGAACTTCACCGCTCGTTGCCCTCCTCCAGGATGAAGTGTCATTATTGCCACAGCCCTGCTGTCACCCCTTCATCTGGATGTTGTGGCTCCTGCAAGTCCTGTTTTATAAAGTGGTTTCGTACTCCAGCCGCTCCTGAATAAGGGCGTCATCTTTGTACTGCAGCCTTGGAGGAGACGGGGAACACTCAAAGGCTAAAATGGCCTTTCGTAGGCTTCGGTCCAAAACATGTCTCTCCCACGCTGGGTACCTATTCCTGAACAGATCAATTTTAATGACTGATTCTTCAATCCGTGGTGGGCGAGATGATGGAGTGGATGGGGCGGTGGGCCTCACCTGAAAGACAGGTACGCACCCATCCCGCTCTGCGAACTTCTGATCGCGGTCACTGACAACACTGCGGTTGTTGGAGATGGACCGTAGGGTGCTCGTGGCCACTTCCGGAGGCAGAGAGAAGGCAGCGACCGGGTCCTCACAAGCACAGCTTGGTGACTGCCCGAATCTGGGTCCATTGGGGTGAAAGAAGGCATAATACATCAGCATAAAAACAATGCCAGTTAAAAAGCTGCTGAACACCACACACAGTGCTGGAATGGCAAACGCGTCTGCGATCTGGGGAGCCTTGTAGAGGTACCAGAGGGCGCTCAAGGCTGTATTTTCCAAAAGGATCACAAAATAGTAAATGAATAACCTGCAGCGTGTCCTGCCTTCCTTGACGTTGAACCAACTGAAGATGTAGATAATCCCCACCACCATGTCGAACACAATCTCTTCCCATTTGGTGATGCAGAACTCTGTCTCACAGTGGACGATCCAGAAGGTCATGATGCACCAGTGAAGGACGATGAAGATCCCAAAGTACAGCTGGAAAACTGAGGCGAAGAGGGCGAACGTGATGACCCTGGCGGCGATGGTGAAGAAGTGCCAGCAGAACTGGATGATGACTGCCATGTAGCTGATGGGCTTCTTGTCGTCTCGGGAGTCCCGGAGGGCCTTCTGGTAAGAGGCCAAGGCCCAGGCCAAGGACACAAGGGAGGCTGCCGCTGTGAAACCTACAAACGGGAAGACAGAAAGACAGTCTGTCAAAAGTGAGATGCAACCATGCCCCCTGGAAGTCAAGTAGCACGGACCTGGGGGGTTGGGACAGGCTGGCTCGGACCTCAGCAAAGGCTCTCAATTTCCCTGAGGTTTAACTCACATGGGGGTCCTGGTATCTGTCCTCGCTGAAGCCCAACCATGAGGAGAAGTAATGAAGCTAATGGGAATATGACTGGAAACCAGTGTGCGATGTAAGACCTGGAAATGGGGTGGGATTTAACTTCCCACGTATTTGGTGTAAATAGACGAAGGAGGTGGTTTGTGTAGGGGGAAATAACTGTGGACTGGAGGTTGGCAGGACTGCGTTGCTGCTTCCACTTTGCCACTTATTACCTGCATGACCTTGACAATCATTTAAACAGGGGTCCTCATTTACAGATCAGGTATCGCCAAGGCTCCCTGTCAGCTCTGAGACTGTGTGATTGAAAGGGATGCATGACCACAGGAAACTCGAGGGACTAGCTGGCTTTCTGCTTCTAAGCAAGAATTAATGTAGCTCATTCGCAAAAGAGAGTTTACACTTTCTTCAAAACAAGCAAAGGCGTCTATACGGCACCTTTGGCAATGCTTCTGGTGACATCTGGAGTGCAGTTTGTCCTAAAGTGATCTGATACTCTTCCTATAGCTTGTCTGTTCATTGCTGCCTTTCCCTTAAAAGAAGAAATGTCCACTCACTGTCATTCACCCTTTAGCTTTTCATAAAGATTATAGTAAAAACATTTAGATCACTTGTCTTATTTTATCATTTTATTAGCCCCATATGGTTGGTATTCGCTCTAAAAGTGAGTTTCCGAATTTTAATTATAATTTTCAAGGCTTTCTTCTACTCTTGCTCCGACTCCTGTGACTCAAAGGAGTCATTGTGGTCCAGACGTGGACAGGGCTCACCTAAAAGTCTGGCTTCCTTTAGGAGAGAGCGCTTTTGGGGAATTACCCTTAGTCACTGAAATATTATGTCAACCTGCACCACAGCTGCCTAACCAGCTGTACCAAGACTCACCAAGACTAAGAATGGTCTTGTTTGTTTTAAATTTCAACTGTTTTTTTTTTCAAATCTATTATTAATTATAACCAGGCCATATTATAGTCTCTCTCTCCTTTTGGAAATAATAGAATGTGTGTTGATTGCCAAGAGCTTATGATGGAATTGGTACTTTTTATGAAAAAATATTTTTGTAGAGAAAAACCGTTGTCCACGATCTTTGAAAGATGAAAAAAAAGTGTGGAAAACGGCCACACTAATTGATAGAAAAAAACATTCAACCTCAATAATTATTTCTTACACATCCTCCTTGAGTAAGATGAACTCCAAAGAATAATTATTCATAAAGAAAATATTTTCCAACAGCCACTTCTTGTTCTTCCACCCAGTAAAGCCAGCAGAACAACCAGACATGCTACACTGGGACCTTGGGAACTTCAGGGTTGTTTTTTTTCTTTTCTTTTTTCTTTCCTTTTTTTTTTTTCCTCCCTGGCCAGCACAAAGATACTTCATTATTGTAAGTCACAGGCAACTACGGCGGTATTTCTGATAATATAGGTCAGTTAGAGACCAGCACACAAAGGAGTTTATGGTAATTTAATTTCTATGCAATGGAAAACACCAACATCAATTATAAAGCAAATTCAAGAGTGAAAAGAGAGGGAAGGAGGAAAAGTTAAAAAAAAGAAGAAAGAAGGTGAGAGAATGGGAAATGGTGATGGGATAATAACTATGCGAACGATGTATTTATTATTACTCGTTTGGGATATAAGAACAAAATGTGCCACTTTTAAATTTCAACACCTTTGTATGGCATAGAAGCTACTCATGCCTCGCTCCCTATTTGTACCATTTGCAAATTGGTAGCTTTTTGAATAGACTGTGCTCGCTTTATGCTTTGAAACTGCGCACCCCGCGCGGTTTCTGCACGGGAACGCCCCTCTCCGCGCGCCGGCCCCCTCCAGGACAGCGCCCCCTCCCGGAAGACGGCTGCAGCGCTGGCCGGGCGCCTGCGAACCCGAGAGAGGACTCCGCCCGATCGTCGCGGTGGTTCCACCGGTTTGCACCGGAAGAGGTTGTTTAAAGCTGCTTTCCAAAGCAGTGAAAAGATAGTAACAAACTTTTAAGTGCACAGCATCATGAAATTATTACCTGTTGTCAGGATAGAAAAATTAGCCTCGTTCAAATTTCCCTGTAATCTTTATCCCTTTTACTGCGTGTCCTAAAAGAGCAATTCAGCCTGCGTTTGACACTCCAGGAACTTGTCAAGATGATATTGGGGCGGCAGAAAAATGAAGACTTTCTTTCAGCTTTGCTTTCTATATATTAATATATTACAATTAAAACAATCTAAACCAAAGGGAAATTTCACGTCTGTCGTGGCCACCCCGTTTTTGAATTCTCTGCTTCAGCAACAAGTAGAATTTCTCTTCCTTATTTGATTATGATTTGCTTTTTCTTTTGTTTAGCAATTAATTTTTAGAAGACAAACAAATGTCTGAACAGAAAATACAGGGTCATTTTAGAGTAATTCACACCTGCCACAGCATGCTTAGTTCTTTGGCTTTTAATACAAACGACACTGGTTGTTTCCAATGCCAAGACAGCCTCCTGCAGACGGTGCCGCGTTATTGGCATAGTACCCTGGGACTTCCGATGCACTGTGGGGGATCAGACGTGGCTGGCACAGTGCTGGAACACGGCCTCTGAGCGCTCCTTTAGAAAACAATGTCTATTTTAAGTTTTTATTTGAAATAATTTCAAACTTACAGAAGAATTGTAAAGAAAAAAATAGTACTTTGAACACCCATGTACCCTTTGCCCAGATTGTCAACTGGTCTCATTTGCTTTCTCATTGAGCCCTCTCTGTCTCTCTCTCATACCATTTGAGAGTAAATTGAATATATCATGTATCATAGCCCTTTACCCTAGAATACATCAGTGTTTATCTCCTATGAATAGGGATATTCTCTTACGTAACCACAGTGAAGTGATTGACTTCGGTTAATTTAACACTGATACTTTTTTCTAACCCACCATCAATATTCCAGTGTCATCAATTGCCATTAACGATATCCATTCCAGAATTTTTCCCCCAGTACAGAATTGAGTCTAGGATCAGGTATTACAATTTAATTTTTTTTAATCTGGAGTATTTCTACAGACTTCCTTTGCCTTTTATGACATAGACATTTTTTGCAGAGTATAGTACCCTGAAATTAAAAAAAAAAAAAAGAAAAAAGAAGGAAGTGTTCTTCGTTTTGGGCTTATCTGCTGTTTTTTCATGGCTAGATTCAGGTTATACATCCCAGGCAGGAATACATATATGACTTTGAACAATGCATTGTTTTCAACATCATTAAAATACTAAAACATAAAATGTCTTTCAGTGGAATATATATATGTGTATATATACATACATAAAAAACAAAATATATAATGTATCTGTATTTTCTTTCAAAATAATAGCATATCACTCATGAAAACTTCATTCTACGATCAAACTACAAAAACAGCTACAGAGGACACAAAAGGATTATATTATTTTTTAAAATGTGAAAATAGATGATAAGACTCAGAATTTACCTGGTATAATAATCTCATTTTATAGAAAAGAAATTGAGTCTCACTTCGAGAGGTTAAAATGATTTGTCTTCCCTTCCTCCTGCTTCCCACTTGTCTCAGGTGAAAACTGTCTTTCTTCCACTCCAGAACTTACCCTCCTGCTTTCTTGAGAAAGGACCCTATCAATTATTCTGCCTGCTCTGTATTCCGTCTCTTCCTCTCCAAGAGCTCCTTCCCCAGGTCTTATAAACATGTAACAAGCCTCCTGTATCCCAAGAAAACAACCATTCACTTGATTTTATCTCTTCTCTTCCTTTGTTTCAGACTCGTCTCCTATTTCCCCTCCTGTTCTTTCTTTCTTATTTCCCCATTTTTGTCTGCTTGTCCTTGAGCTATGGCATTGCTTGGATGCAGTCCTTGGTCCTCTTCTCTTCCCAGCATCTCCCTGAGTGATCTGACTTACTCTCAGATCTCAAACCACCTCCTCAAACTCACCAGGCTTATTGAGCTCTAGGGCTGTGTCTGACTGTTTACCTGAAACCCCACAGACCTACAGTGGAATACCTGGAAGCAATTTGCTGTAAGTGACAATGTTTGCTTTCTTGTGGAAAGAACACAATTCTTCCTTTTATCCCCACTGTCATTAGTGTAATGCCCTTCTCAGAATGAAAGGGAACATGAATTTCCAGATAGGCTGTCACAGTTCTAAGAAAAGGGTTTTATGTGTAGCTCAAGTGAAATACCATGTTGCAAGGCCAACCAAATCCATGTGTTCAGAATGTGTGCCATTTTGGTGCATTGCTTCTGTCACTGAATTGAGTCCAGCTGATCCAGGTGTCTTTGCTTTCTTACTGTACTGCAGCTTGAACAATCGATCTGACTTTGAATACAACAGTTCAATGACCATAAAGTTACTATGACAGTTTATTCCACCATTTTGAGCTGATTGTCTATATAGCTATATAGATAAAGATATTCCTTTTCTTTGGATAGGGTTGCTAAGGGATATAACACCTTGGAAATATTATAATCCAAGAGTTTTGATTTTGCGACTCTAGACTGGAAGGGGGCTACTTCTCTCTCCTCTGATCTGTGATTTGAATAACTATAGATGCTGCTTAGTAAGCCAGAGGCTAATTTCTCAGAGGACGTCTAAGATACTTGTCCATATTGAATAAAGATTTTTCAGAATAAGGGTTATGGGTCTGATACTAACTAGTTAGCTAATTAACATTTCAAAAGCAGCTGACAGAAATCAATACCATTAGTCCAAGTGAACAGCCAGGTCTTGAGTTTCTTTCCTCTTTTCCTTTGCTTAGGGATGTCCTTTCCCTTTGGAGCATCTCTCTTCATGTGCTTTCCTTCCTTCCCTTCCTTTCCCTCTCTCTAGCTGTCGTTCCCTCCTCC